GGCCATCCAAGCCAGCTTTCCACGCGCCCTCATACAAGCCTTCATGGACGACATCACACTGGGGGCCGACGAGAGTGAGGCAGACGGGGTGGTGGACAAGGCGGAGGAAGAGCTGCAGACTATCAGCCTCAAGCTGGCCAGGAAGAAGAGCAAGGCGTACGGCCCCCACTGGACGGACAGCGAGCCACCACCGGACGACCTGCTGCTTGGCTTTAGGAGGGAGGGGCTCTCGGGTGAGGGCATTGACATCCTGGGCGGGGCAACAGGGACGGACGGCTACGTCGCTAACAAGCTGCAGAGCGTCCTCGACTCCTACCGCCCCCTCATCGAACGACTCAAAGCGTTCGCACACGAGCAGCGGCAGGACTCATCGCTCCTCTTCCGCTCTTGCGCAGTCCCACGCCTGTATTACTGGCTTCGCCTTCTTTCCCAGCGCCCTTCAACCAGCGAGGTCACGGCGCTACTGAGCGATGAGGAGGTCATGAATGCAGCCATCGCCATCCACGGGCTGGGAGAGGAGGACACCACCGAGCCGCATCGACGACAAATGGCGCTTCCAGTGAGAGAGGGGGAATGGGCATTACGGCGGCGAGCGCCATCCTGCCTGCTGCATATCTCGGCTGCACCGCTGTGACGCTACCCTACGTGTGGAGACACTACCAGCTGGCGCCATGGATGCCACAGGGGGAGGGAGGGGGGGAGGGAGCGGCAGCACTACTGCAGCTGCCATGGCTACGGGCAGCGGAGTCGGCAAGAGAGAAGCTACTGGAGAAGCTGCCGGAGACGGAGGTGCTCACACTGGCCAAGCTGCTCGAGGGACGCACAAAGCTACGGCTACAACACGACCTGACGGCCAGCCTGATGCGAATCGAAGCAGACGCCCTGCTGGACGAGTTCGGCGAGGAGTCAAGAGACCGCGCACGGCTGAGGAGCTGTCGAGGCCCAGAAGCTAGCGGCTGGCTGACGACGGTCCCGGCGCATCCGGGCCTGCGCTTCACCAACGAGGATTTCGTCACCTGCTGCCGTCTGAGGATCGGCGCCACCCAACACCCTTCACTCGCATCGGACTTTTGCTCGTGCGACACCGACCTGGACCCCTACGGCGACCACCTCCTCTGCTGCGGCACAGGCAAGGAGCGCATCTAGCGGCACGACCTGCTGTGCGAGGAGTGGCGACGCATCATTAGGAGCGTCCAGATTGTCGTCGACCGAGAGGTCAACCTGACGCGCCTGGGCGCCTACCCGACCACCACCGATCCAAACGGCAAACGGATCGACCTCTACTGGGTGGAGGAGGGAAAAGGCATGCTCGGCGACGTCACCATCGCCCACCCCACACGCCCCGACCCCTTCACCAACAGACACCACGCGGCCACCAACAGGCAGAACGGAGCAGAAGACGCCAAGGCGCTGCGCAACGCGGCCGACAGGAAGCACAGCAAATACGGCACCGAGGCGAGGACAAGCAACTTTACCATCGTCCCACTGTCGGCGGAGAGCTACGGACGGTGGGCGGATGAGGCGGCTGCCCTTGTCAACCGTATGGCCCGGCACATGCGGCCACCTGTCTATATGGAGGAGGGCGACGTGGAGTTTTTCCGTGAGACAGCAGTGGAGAGGTGGTGGGCTCGACTTAGTATGTTGCTGCAGAAAGGCAACGCACACATGGTGCGGAGCAGGGCGTGGCGGGCAAGCAGGTGGAATGGGCAGGAGAGGGCGGGCGTGCGTGGGTAGGTTGCTAGAGCGGGGGCCTTTCCACCCTCGTTGATTGCAGGGGGTGGGTGGGTGGGCGTGCATGGGTAGGTAGCGAATGCTTTGATCGTTGCTGTCAATAGTTTAGATGCGAACATGTAATCGACCGTCTCAGCGCATGGACACACGGACAATCTTACCCTAACCACCACCACCACCACCACCACCAAAGGTACACGCTAACTAATTAGCTCGCGTAGCTCGCACCGCTCGAACCCCTCTCTCCAGGCATCGTGTGAGGCGATTTGGCGGCCATTCCTGAAGACCTGGGGAAGCTGAATGAAGAGGTGCTTGCTCGTGAACGACGATGCTGGCCGAGAAACCAAAAATCGGCTGCACTTGTGTGTGACTGAAGAGAGGGCGCAGACACCAAAGGGAGGTGGCAATGCGGACGACGCAGTATCGCCCCCTCCCCCTTGAATGGGGGAGGGGGCTGCAAAAGGTCAGTATCTATGAGTCAGTAGTCACAGGCAGAATAGAGTGGGTCGACCACAGACTGATTGAAGATGATGATGGCCGTCATGTAGGATTCCGGCACACAGATCTACTCGTCTGAGCGCTCTTGTGTTTGCCTGGCAGGCGTGTTGGTGTTTCGTTTGGCCGCATTGCCGCCTT